CAGGAAGGACCAATTACCCTTCTGCTCTAATGACACTGCTGAGTCATCACCGGAAAATGCATCACGATTATTAATAACAGATAAATGTCATCGATGGTTGGGAAATATTTAAAAATTCAATGGTTTCCACTTACGCGGCTCATGAATAATACATTTAATTAAGAAAAGCCAAATGGGAAGGATTTTAAACTTCCAATTTGCAGGGTATTTTTTTTTCTCTTTCCCCATTAAAAGATATACACATTAAGCACACAGTGGCTGAGGATGAAACAAAATAGATGAAGGCCCCACTGTAGGCTGGCTGTTTGGACGAAAGAGAGAGGCAGCCATGGCAGGAAGGGAGCCCTGTGACAGGACCGGCGGGCAGGGGGACCAGCGTCCACACCCATTCTTCACGGCGGGCACAGGAGGGCGCCCGGATTCCAGCCCAACAGCCCCCGCCATCTTCCCCTCTGCCTGCTCACCTGGAAATGAGGAGGTGGGCTGGACGCCCTCTCAGGCCCCTTCCCCCGCAGGCCTCCCGTGACTCTGAACTGAGGACATCCACCACCCAAAAGCAAACGTCCACGCGTGGCCACCATCCTGTGAGAATCCGGGCACGGCCCTTCCAGGTGTGATCATGCAGAGGACACTGAGTTTTGCCATTGATATCAGCAATGTTCAAAGTGTGGGGGGGTGAGCCCCCTGAATCCGCATCGCCTGGGAACCTGTGAGTGGTACAGATGCTCTGGCTCGTCCCAGACCCGCTGAGGAGGCTCTGAGGGCGGGGCCTGGGAGTTTCTGCTTTACCAAGTCCTCCTGCTCATCCTCATGTGCACTCAGGTTTTAAAATCTCTGCTCCAGAGAGGCCGCCTTGGAGAGAAGAAGTGCTTCGTAGAGGTTGCACAAATGTGTTCTGCCCCCTGCTAGTATCAACAGGCTGGAGTAATTTCAAATGACAGATTAACCTTTGATTCTATAAGAGTCTGAGGAAATTGACCCCAGGACAGGCAGTGTCGATGGGGAAGGAGTGGGGACTGAGGAACAGTGGTCCTAGATGCGAGCAGGCGTGGTGTGCTGGGAGCTGGGGGTTTGCAAGGAAGTCCACGGGGGATGACGGGCAGCCAAGACAAGCATCGACCTAGACGAAGAGGACCGCTGTAGCGCACAGGAGAGAAAGAAGGCGGCACGAGGGGAACAGCCGAGGGTTTGGCATCAAGCCCTGCCCCTTCCGCATGTCGACAGCATGAATTGGGGGATTACCTCTCCACCCCTTCCTCCAGCACCCTGCTGTGTCTAATGGGCGTATCAGCCACAGCCAGTTCACCTCACAAAGCAAATCACTGGATAGGGAAGCAGGGCTGAAATGAAAGAGCTTTTTAGTTACTGTTATTATTCTCTAGGGAAGCTCTCCTGTTTCCAGATCACATTCTTCTAGCAGTTTCTAGATGTTCCACTACTGAAGAAGAATTTGCAACATATAGGAATAGTCTGAAAAGTGTAACAGGTAAGGTGGAACTGAATTCACCAAGGGAGGGATGGAAATTACATTCTCTCAGGTCTCAAGATTACAGCGTAAAGAAAACAAAAGATTTTCGGGGCACGGGTGGCAACCTGTCATTTCTGTTAAGTGGAAGGGGTTACCTGGGCTTTTGGAGGGAGAGCCGACGTCCATTTCTTTCCCCAAATAGATGCTGAGTGAAGGTCTCTAAGCTGAGACAGGCCCCAGAAGTTTGCTCAAAATCACCTTTGTTCCACAAAAGTTTGAAAAGATGAGTCGCTGAGAACAGGGGAGTCCAAACTATATTTTCCCTCCTCTTTATAGTGAAGAAAAATTTCCTATCTAGACGGCTCCCTTGTTTCAAACAAAAACCCTTTGAGCATCTCTTTGGTGGAGACAGAACAGCAGGCTTGAAGTGAGGCAGCAAAAGACATCGGTAAAGAACCTTAGAAGCAAGAGACGGCACGAAGCGATGAGAAGCCCCAGGAGGAGTTCGCAAAAGAAAACAAAGGTTCAATATCCAGGAACAGGACAAGAACGTCAAAGCGTATTTTCAAAAATGAGAAGCGAATTGCATTCATGCATACTTGATCTAAAAGCATCAAAGGAACCGGAGATCAAAGGAATGCTGGGGGTGGAGGGGACCATTCATCCAAACACAGATTTAACCTCCCATCCATTGCAAAAATAAATCTTTTTGCAACAGCTCAAGCAGTGTTCACCCATCTTCTGCTTGGTCATCTCTAAGGATGGCGAGCTCATCACTTCATACATCAGCTGGTGCTGCAGCTCTAGAGCTTAGGCCAGTCTTCCTTATATTAAGAGTCACAAAGCATCTGTCGCCCCACCAGCCACATGTCCTATGTTTGCCTTTGGACATCATGGGCAGGATGCCACATAATTTATCACCCAAATTGGGATCTATTAGAATATAAGAGAATATTACAATGAGACCAGGACAGCAGACGTAAGCTGGACAAAGAGGGGCACATCTGTATTCTAAGTATGGACATGTGGGGCACAGAGCTTTCAGACAAGACTAAATCTAGGAAGGATGATAATTCATTTTTTTCTGTTTTCCAGCTTTATCTTACGCATGGACCTTCAATGATAACCCTTTATATGTCCAGGAGGACAACAGGCGCTTTGTATCCCAGGAGACAGGAAACTTGTACATTGCCAAAGTGGAACCATCAGACGTGGGCAACTACACTTGCTTTGTGACCAACAAGGAAGCCCAGAGAAGCGTTCAAGGGCCACCCACGCCCTTGGTGCAGCGCCCTGATGGTAAGATGCCACGTTGTCTTGGGGATGTGCTTTGTCTGTGGCTCTCGGGGCCTGGGGAGGTCTGTAGAGCTCCCTGCTTCCCTCTGGTTCAGGGGAGCCACGACACCTATGAGCTGAGGTTCAACTCACAAATAGGATGGCAATGCCGGTATTATCAAAACTATAGCAGAAAATTCTATAATCCACCCACGTGGTCCAGTGTACATGCTTCTGGGTATACCATGCCATCCCTTCTCTGGCATGGGGATAGATCCTCTTTTCATTGCTTAAGGAGTCATTTTGTAAAATCAAAACCAAACCAAACCAAACCAAAACGACGTTTGGGGAGTAGGCGTATATGCGCGCACGTGTGGACACTGCAAACTTCTTCATTGAATTAATATGTGTTCAATGAACATGGGGTGCAGCTTCTGTTTAGTGCCTCTGTCTTGTCCCTATTTGTCCTTTTTGTTCACCCTTTACTTACCTGGCTGGCAAAATTGGCGGGGGGTGGGGGGATCACATCCAAAGAAAGAAAAAGGAGCCAACGTTAATTATGAGCATCGCAAAGAGGAACGAAACACAAGATGCACACTAGCTATTCTATATTCCTCCAAGAAACGTACTTCAGATTGGTCTCTGACAAGTTTTGTAGCTTAGTCACGTCATAGCTGCTACAAGAGTTAGAGAACAGAAAGCCCAAGGAAGTCATCGAAGTAGAAAAACCCTCTAGCTGGTTCTTTAATTAAACAGCCACAGTGAGAAATGAAAAGATGAAAAGCCTGCTGATGCATTTTATGATCAGGTTCTGGACTTGAATGAATCCCTCAGAGAGCCTCTCTCCTCCCTAAGGAGTTGAAGAAAAGCAGGAACATAATATTAGCAAGGGCTCACGGAACCCCAGCACTCGTTCTGCACAGGGCGTTCCTAGGGCAGAGCTTTTATAGCCACGAACCACCCAACCATGTTTGCATGCTCTTAATTCGGAGCTCAGCAACCATGAGATTCATGCCTGAGTCCTATTTCTCCCCTTCAGTGAGTATGCTGTTCATGACTGGACATGCTCATAAGTCAATAACATGCAGAGAAATTCTACCATATTTTCCACTTTTTTCTGTTTACTCTTAGTTTCTGCTTCTCCCCTTCCTAATTCCTTTATTCTTCCAACCCCTCTACTTCCTTCCACACATTTATGGTAACAATAGGTCAGAGCATCATACATAATCTTTAAAAAGTCAAACCTCATCTAAAAATAGTCACAAAAAATATCAGAGGTCAAGAAAATGGAAAATATAAAACCTACCAATTTAGTGGAATAGCATAGCGCTACCTCCTCAAACATGGCCTTTTTGAATGTTTGAAATGATCAAGGTCTTAAAAGTGAGGCATTTCTATGTTATATATACTTGATAATTTTTACTTTTTGTGCAATTGAGCTGGCCACCAATAACCATTTATTTTCGGAATATATTACTCCAGTGTTTGGTATATAAGTAAAAAGATGATAAAAAATTTGAAGAATCTTGACTTATCATTGATTAAGCTAATGAGGCCGCCTAGAGACATATTTCTGTCATCACAACTCCTCTGGTAGAGAGCATACTTACAATATATTACACTACTGTCTTATTCTTGACTCAGCCCATATCCACAATTCCTTATTGGTCATTATAAAACTATGAAAAAAAAATGTTTGGTATATGTGTACGGCAAACTCATTTAGCAGTAATACCTTAGTAAAGTGACATAAGAATACTGATGTCTTTATTTATCCTGACTAGTGTGATTACCTCATAGGTTTGGTTGCAGAAACACTGATATTTTGCATTTAGAAGTAGGCGCTGCATCAGACCTCTGATGGTGTTAACTTGCTTTATTCCTGAACCGATCTGACCTCATGACTTCCATGAAGGGTAACAGATCTGGATAGCTCTAGAAACTTTCCTGCTAACTCAGAAGAACTTTAGAAGCTGGGTGTGTTCCGGTTTTCATTGCTGACATGCTGATGGGACGCCTCTGTTCTGACACTTTGATGTGTCCTAGATATTTATGTTTCAGGGGAGAAGGGAGGTGACGTGTTCCTTTAACAGCATCATGACACATCCTTGCTCTTTGTCGGTCATTAAAAGATACAAAAATATTGTGAATTGAAGGCCAGAATAATCAGGCTTTGGTTAATGAAACGTTTGCTTCATAGAAAAGTTCTCTTCTCCAGAAATGCTGCTAGCTCTTTTGATATTTAACAGGTGTGATGGGGGAGTATGAGCCAAAGATTGAAGTGCATTTTCCCGAAACTATACAAGCTGCAAAGGATTCGTCTGTAAAACTGGAATGCTTTGCCCTTGGAAAGTAAGGTTGTTTTATTTTGTTGTTTTTTTCCTGGTATTTTAATTAAAAAAAAAGCTTTTTGTTATTGAAACATTGCTCTAAGGTAAACTACCAAATAGATTTCAAATGCTGGGCAAAAATGGAACTTTCTGATTGGAATTGAAACACACATGCTGAATACTGTGGAAATGATGGGGCTGCAATGCTCCCCTAAATGTGCTGGCATTTCCTCTGGTTGAGCACGATGACACCCACCGAGGCAGCGCACCACCAAGGCAAAAGCGCCCATGTAAGACGGTGGGCTCGGCTCTAATCGACGCGCCCTTCAGTCCACTGCGTCTTAGATGCAGAGACAGAATGCCGCGGTGCCCCTCGCTTAATTAACCAGCGAAAACTGTAAGGGGAAAACCTGGACTGCTGGGCTCTCCAGTCAGACCAGCTAAGCACCACGTGCATGGCAGGCGCTCAGAACCAAGCTGAACCCACCCTGCTATGGAGGCGTTTTGTTTTATCAGATAGGCGTGTGCCAGCCAACCTGCCTGGAGAGCCTCTGATGGCCGAATATGTGCATTTCTTGCACATAATATTCGGACAGCTCTTTACCTTTGGGGGCTGTTCAAACTTCATTGTAAGCCTATGAACACCTGTACCCAAATTACATAGAGATACATACACGTGTACTCCATCTGCCATTTTCTTTCCTTTTTTTCTTTATTTTATTTTTTTTACTTATTAAATTCATTGGGGCGACCCACTTTTGAACACGAGTGTGTGTGTGAACCGCCGGGGTGCATGGTTACATGGAGAGCCTGGGCTGAGTCTGGTTTCTCCTTGTCTAACAAGCCCCCGGCCAACACCAGTTCTTCTTCTCTGTAGAACATACTTTGAATAAATAGTAAGAGACGTGACTCTCACTGTTTTTGAGGGATACCTTTAAATCGAGAGTCTAGTCCTAATTCGGTTATCACATTTAGAAATACTGATTTACAGTCCAAACTGTGGGAAACGTCCTTTAAAGCCTCCATCTTGTTTTTAAGAAATATACTAAGCAACCCAAATAGTGCTGGTTATAGAATCTCTTAGGTTCCTTTCTAAAGATGAAATTTTGTAGATATTTAAATTAAAATTTTCAGGTTATTAATTTTTCATGTATTTAAGGGACCATATTTTACTTTCGTACAGTACCGGTCCCATAGTGTTTGTCCAATAATTATTGATTGATTAAATTATTCTTAAGGAAGTGATATACAGGGACTCTATGTCAGAGTTTTTATTTGTTTGCCTACCATTTAAGAAATGATGGACTTGGACCATTTTCAGGTTTTCTCAGAAATTAAAGTTTACAAAACATAAAAATAAAATGTTTGTCAGCAAAACGCTTTGAGAGTTAGATGATTTATTTAAAAAGAAAACTAATGAAAGATATCATCTGAAAAGAATATCAGTAGCTTACTCTAACATATTTGGCATCAGGAAGTAATGAATTCCTGAAATTTAAAAAATACTCTTACATAATAACTGAAAATTGTTGAGACTAGTTTTCAAGAATCTCACATAAATAAACCTCATTTGTTAAGCATTTATAACTAAGAATTTATATGACATATGTAATTGCCATAATGGTACAGGGAATATCATATTTTTACTACATATGAGAAAACTGAGGCTCCAATTGGGTGAGTAACCTGTTCAGTCTCATGCTTCTGTGAGGAAGATGCGGGCAATCAAACTAGTCCCTCTTATTTTAAGTTCTGAACTTAGGAACTTCGGGTAAATGGTTCAGATCTCTGCTCTGAAAGTCAGTGGAAGCAGATTGAATCCTGATTTTTCTCAGGCGTTGTTTGACCGTGTACAAACGTGCTTTCTATCCTCTGTGACAAAATTCCCATGTTCTCATCAGAAAGGAATTGCAGTGCCACCTGCCTCCTGTTTGTTCTGAAGACCAGAGTGGAAACACGCGTAAAACCCAGTTAGCACTGGGCTCGGCACTTGGCGGCCATTTCCTCAGAATCACTCTGACCCCAAAGTGCAATCCCGTTCTCTCTGTGTAACCAGTGTGTGAGCTAGTGAGGACGGCCCAGCCAGAAATCCTTATCTCAGAGCGCCTATCAATTTTCATATCTCTTCAGCCTGTTTCTTCTCTCTCGGCCTCAATGTTGAGGCCAGCACAACAGGAAACAGCCAGCAGGGCCTGAAGTAGAAATGCAGAGGCGACAGGAGAACACGGAGTTGATCAGCATAGCCTTTGAATTGCTCATGTATCAGGTTGCTTAATTTTATTCATTTCTACATTTTACTTCTAAAAAATTCAAACATACAGAAAATTTGAAAGAGCAGTACCTGGGTCTCTCTCTCCCCCACCTTCTCTCTCTATGCTCACACTAAAACAGATGGGTGATAAGTACTAATTAGCCTGCATTTGGGGGGCATGTTTAGGCCACTCAAGATCTTGCCATAGATCTACACCTCTTTCTGGCCCAGCTTGCTGTGAAATTGAGGGGTGGAAGAAACGAAAAAGGCAGAGTCAGCAAATTTTGACCGACCCGTTTAGAGTTCATCGTCTGACCTCACTCTTTTGATCTGGTCATGGGCACATGCTGTTGGAATTCACTGGAAGTATATGGAAGAAGTGGATTTGCAATCTAAACAGCGTGAGGGAAGCCTTAGAATATATGAGGTAAAATTTTGAGAACTCTCAAATGGAGAATTTAGAGATAAATAAAACCATCTCTCATTTTTAATTAACCTCCTGGTGATGGAAACAACACATTAAAAACTGACAATCAATAAAACTACATACACTAACATTTGTTATCTTAAAAATGTATGGGAGTACCGCAACGTCTTAATAAAATTGGGATTAGCAATATTTGGTTCAGGAAAATTTAGTTGGAAAAATAATAGTTAAAATAACCTCTCAAAATGGTAAATCTGATATGTGTGGACAAAAAAAAAGATTGATAAATTATACATCTATTGTTAAGTTTATACATAAAAAAGTTTGGCACATGAAATATAATTAAAAAAGGGAAAGTGATGTGATGAGACTTAACTGAATTTCATAAAAAATTGTCAAGAAAATCGTTGATTTAATGGAATATACACCATAATATTTTATCTAATAAAATCAATGTTGAGATAATGTTTATAAAAATTAAGTCATTTGTATGGAATTGGAATTCCTTGGGGTGAAAATAGAAATTCCAAAGCATCTGTGGGTCCAAGTGACAGTGCTAAAATGCATGTACCACACACATATTTTATGTCACTAGATTGTGGATACATTTCTTATTTCTTCAAATGAACAAAATGTATGTGAAAATGCTTTGTGTGCTTTGGAAGATATTATACAAATGTGAGCTACTACCAAAAAGAATTTTTTATGTATGCTTGCCAGTAGTTTTCAGAAAACAAATTGTAGTTGAAACATTGCAAAGGCACTGAAATTCTTTCCAGCCCATTATAAAATTGACATTTACCAAATACTGTACCAACTTTTCTAAATTTGCAAAATTAACAAACATAAAGAACAACACACACCCTAGAAAATTAATATGTGATAGGCGTAATTAACAATCTGATAATAACAACATCAAACTTCTTGCTTTCTAAATTATAAACCTATAGGTATAGGTATATTGTGAAATGCTTTTATATACTCTGTTGATTGATAATTATAAACCACGTTTTCTGAACTTCTGGGTTTAGTTACTTTTTTCCAAATACGGGGACTGCTTTGTACAAATCCATTTAAATCCCCTGTTGACTGTCTGAGGTACTGCACTCCTTGGTAAGGTGTTTGATGAATGAAAACTGAGAGAAGGTAACTGATTCAAGGAGGAATGACATCAAAGTTTTTTCTTATTAACAGTGTTTCTAAGCACTTTTGCTGACCAACTACTGACTACTCTTTGTGCTTATAAGCTACACATTCATTAAGCTAAGTTTTATATATTTTGATGAGGAAGGGAGGGAGGGAGGGAGAGAGAGAGAGAGAGAAGGAAACTAATAGATGAGTAGGAGAATAGGAAGGAGAAAAAGCTAGACAGGTCAAGGCCACATCTTCTGATTAAGTTGTTCATGTTTAGGATCTAAGGCTGTTCCTGATGCGCTGACAGTTTTTATTAAACATTTGTGGACTGTAGCACATGCATACTCACATAGGAAATATGGAAACGTTCCCTTTATCCGTGGAAATGGTCCTGCTCTTAAATGTGTACATTATGGTGGTATTTATCTTAATGTTCCCTGAGCTTCCTAGGTCTATGGTTTGGTTTGGTAGCTGTCATGAATTTTGGAAAATTACCAGCTATTATTACCTCAAATGTTTCTTGTTTACATGTCTCTCTTTATTCTCCTTGTGGTATTTACCCCATTAGACAGCGATTGCACCATCTGTAATTGTCCCCAGTTCTGGGATAGTCTGTTCTTTTTTGTTTCATTTGATTCCTTTTTCTCTTCACATTTTAGTTTGGGAAGTTTCTATTAGTGGTGCTTCTAGTTCACTTCATTCTTCCCGCTGGTTAGCCCTCCAAAGCATGCTCATTGTACGACTTTTTTTTTTTTCTTAGCATTTCCTTTTGGTTAATTCTTAGTATTTCTTTTTTTCTGCTTATATGAGTCATCTGTTCTCATGTTGTCTGTTTGTTTGTTTTTTCCATTAGAACCCTTAGCATATTAATCAGTGTAATTTTAAATCCCCAGTCTGATAGTTCCAAAACATTTGCCCGAATTGAGTCTGTCTCCAATGCTTGCTTTGTCTCTGCAGCCTGTGCTTTCTCACGTGCCTTGTATATTTCTGTTGTAAACTAGACATGCTGTGTCAGGTAAAAGGAACTGTGAGGTAACTGGATTTTAGTGTGAGGTTTTATGTTTATCTAGCTAAGAGGTATGCTTTGTTTACTGTTTGCGGTGGCTGTGGTGTCAGAGGCTCACGTTTTCTCTGCTATCCTGTTTTTGTCCCCCTGTGGTGGTGGGGCTTTTCTAGAGACTCAGCTACTGTCTGAGGCCTGCAGTGCTTT